GTGGCCTAATCCCTGAGAATCCCAGCCCCTTCCCCAGAAGTAGTTGAAATAGTCTTCCCACTTGTTAGTATATGAAGCTACGGAGCTCATAAAAACCAGCAACCCTGCACCTCATCTTCTGAGATGGCCCGCACTCTGTCTATGTATGGAGTGCGTATCTACTTTTACTTTAAACTAAGCACCCAACCCCCACACCTCATGGCCTTTCTCTGGTCTTCTGAGACAGTCTGCACTCCTTCTATGGACTATGTATCTCTCCGAATAAATCTATCTTTTCTCACTCTTGAATTCTTTCCTGCAAGAAGCCAAGGACCGACATGGGGCACATCTCAGGGACTCAACCAAGACCTGGGACACGCCATCCTCTTGCCCCACATTCATTTTCCTGTATCACTCCCACTTGGGCTCCGAAAGCCGGTTCTCTCTTCGCTGCCCCTGCAGGTGGGCTTCCAGGGTCCAGCTGAGCCACCACCCAAGTCTTGGTGAGGACAAGAAAGCCCTGGGGTCAGCAAGACGCCAGTCCCCATAAGTAGATTTAATGATGACTGCTTACTTCAAAAAGAGGATTTAATCCAAAGCAGATTTAGCAGGGCAGTTTCCAAAGAGCGGTGGGAATCCCAGGCCTGACCTTTGAGAAAATCCCAAAGGCTTCACTGGCCCAGGAACTGGGCAAGCCAGTCACAATGGACGCCTCAGACAGCAGAGGAATTCGGAGATGCCAACTTAACAGGGTCCTAGCCGGGGTGTTTCATTTAGCATCAGGAGCGTGTCAGCGTGTGCATGGGCGCTCAGTCAGGGAGCTGCCCTGGGAATAAACATCGACAGAAAAACATACGAAGCACTAAAGTGTTGTCTGTTGAGTCAAAAATACTATTTCAAAACCTTAAAGTGGTTGGAGATTTAGCGAGAGTCAAAGGTCTCTTAGGCGAATTCTTATCTAAAACATGTATTTTGGTAACATGCCCCAGTGGTGCTGATCAAAATATGAAAAGCATCTGGAGATACATATTTTAAAAATTATGCTTTTTATTATTATTCCACAGAGCACTTGGCCCAGGAGAAATTGTAGTTGCTCTAGTAAAATTAAACAGCTCCAGGAGGGCGGGAATTGGAACTGGTAGTCTTAAGCTGGTCAACACAAAGTTAGTAAATAAATACACCTGAGATAGGCTCATTGTGTAACAAATGTAAAAGCACTTTGTGAACTATCAGGCTCTCCGTTGGGTGTTACTATCGCAAGTACCCTCACAGTACACAAAAGTTAGGAAAATAAAAAAGGAAGAGAAAGAAACAGCTGGGTAAGTACAGCCTCTCAGTCCACATATTTCATTTAAACAACAGCTCTGTAAATGAATACCCCTGGGGCATTCAGCTTAGGCGAGAAATTGTAGAAAAGGCAGACATATTGATTCTAGAGCAAATAATTTACAAAGTCATCAGAAAATAAATCACAAGGGTGTTCTTTGAAATTATTTGATTTCAGATCTTTTAAAAAGTTGGACTTTATTTCCTTTCTTTGCTCTTATAAATTTATTAATTCATTCAACAATTGTTTATTGAACACCTGCCATGTCTATGTACTATGCTAAGCACTGTGACAGAGCAATGAATAAAACAGACCAAAAAAAAAAAAGTCAGTGTCAAACAAGTTGCTGCTCTTACCTGGCCACATTCCAACACGGGGCACCTAACCAGAGGATAAATCGCTGTTGTCGATATATGTACTTTACACTATTAGAAGTTTGTTTGCAATACCTATGCTTGAGGTTGGAAAGGTCACAGAGATTGAGGAGGCGGAGTTAATTCTCACTGTTTGGTTATCCCAAAAGGTCTAATTAGACCATCTATCTGTCCCAAAAAAAGCTGATAAACCTGGGCTTAGAGGTGCAGAAAACAGGGCTTAAAGAAACCGTAAGTGGAGGATATTGTACATAACACTCCAGCCATTGCTCTTTTTCATTTCTCCTTCCCCAAGGGATGTGCCAAGTCCAATAAGCAAACAACAATTTTTAAAATTTAAGACAAACCTATTCTGGGTCGTGCTTTTATTTACTCTTTTATCATGATAACTTTTTCTTGTAAATAAATTTACCTGGGAAATCCAGATCTCTTTTTTGTAACTAAACAGATACAAGAAAGCTGGGATTGGTGATACTTGAATGGCTTTTGGCCTTTTTTTTTAATTTAACTCTTTTTTTAGTTAATTTTTTTTAAGTTGAAGTACAATTGATTTACAAATTGTGTTAATTTCTTTGTCGGGGGAGGTAATTAGGTTCTTTCGTTTTTTTCAAATGGAGGTACTGGGGATTGAACCCAGGCCCTCATGCGTGCTATGCATTCTAGCACTGGACTATGCCCTCCCCCACTCCAAATGGCTCTTAATTTTCAAGTCCTAAACATGGGCGTAGACTTGCTTGGTAACTCAAAGGATCTGGATTCAGTGTCATTGGTTTCAAAGATTGTGACATTCACAGCGTTAACTGTTCAGCTGAGGGAAGGTAAAGGAGGAGTAAATTGAAAAGAAGATGCTGGCAAAACTGGATAGCGTTGGACAGTATTACAAAGCATTTCAATTTGAAGTCTCTGTTTCAAATTGGCATCCCTGGTCTGAGAAAACCACCTACAGAGGTCGGTACTGAGGCTCATCACTGAATTTTTGTTGTGTTTTGTTTTACGCTATTTGAAGAGCTATGCAACCCTTAGAAAGTTAAGTAGGTAGTTTTAGTCATTAGGTAGCTCATACACAACCAAATGGTAAGAGTTTCTATAGCACTATTAAGAATGAATAGGGCTCATTTTTTAAAGGTTAAAATTTAATAATTTTTCTTTTTGAATAAGAGGATTTTTTTAAAGGCTTTTTTTTTGGTGGGGGAATCTTGTGCATGCTAAGCATGGGCTCTACAACTGAACTATACCCCGCCCCTTGAATAAGTAAGTGGGTTTTAATCCCAAAGAGATAAAGTGGATTATTTCCGATAGGAAGCACCAGGTAGAGAGGCTTTTGAAATGTAGGTGCTTCATTCATCAAGTTAAGACAGAAGCTCCCTGAGTCTGTGGCTTTCTGATTTCCGCATCCTAGTGGGAGCGGGGTGTCCTACTTACACGCACATGGTCACCTAAACAGTTCCAGGCAAAGTCTGGCTCGCTCTCTGCAAACCATTCAGAAGCTGAACTCGGCCCTGGACACGTGTCTGCGGTGTCACTGGCGGGAACTGACCCCCGACGGGAGGGGCGGGGTGAGCCGGCCGGCCTCCGTGCCGGCGGCGGTTACCTCTCTCGCTCCTGCTCCAGCAGGTTGGTGAAGTCGTCGCTCTTGTTCATGTAGTCCGTGTGCTTGTGCTTCTCGTTCTCCAGCTCGTACACCGTGCGCCGGTGACACTTCTCTGCCAGCAGCAGCTGCTCCAGCATGCGCCGGTAGGTTTCCTTCTGTTTTTCCTCGAGTCTGTCCAGCTGAGCGAGCAAACAGGGAAAAGAGCTGACCATTGTTTTTCACTTAATATGACTCGAAAGAACTTACTTACACTGGTCTAGTGATTTGGTGCCCGAACGGGAGAACCTTGAGTCTGCTCTTTGCCGTTTTCCCCATTCCACGATTTTCTTAAAGCCAACTGGCTTTGTGAACTAGCCACAATAAGGCTGCAGTAACTTCTGGCCTCCGGCCCTTTCTCAGGGAACATATGTGTGGTTCCTAAACTTTCAGAAAAGCAAGCTCACTGTTTCAGTGAGATGGTACAAAGCCTTACGCTCAGAAAGAAAGAGAATGCATCTCTCTTAATCTCAGAAAAATAAACAGCCCAGCAGGCACGTGTACCAGACTCCTCCCCTGGGAAGAGGTGATTACCAGCATCACAAGCTTTTTCTTAAGGCTGACAGTTACACGCATCTCCAGGAAAAGTATGAAGGACCCACAGTCCTCTTCTTTCAAGAGATTCTAGGTTGCACTCTTGCCTTTGGAGATGACCCGCACTCCGTCTATGGAGTGTGTACCTACCTTTACTTTAACTCCCCCCTACCCACCGTGTCCATCTTTCTAAATAAATCTACTTTTACTCAAAAAAAAGAAGAGAGAGAGAGATGCTAAATATAGGGAGAATCTCAGAATCTCAGAACTTGTAGAGAGCACATATCTCAGCTGAATGAGATCTTACCCAATATTGTTACAGGGATTTTTGTGCTTATTTCTCTGGCCAGGCCATAAGATCTTTAAGAAACCATGCCTTGATCATCATTTTAGCCCCTGGTGCCTAGTATAGTGCCTGGAACAAAGTAAATGTTCAGTAAATGTTTGTTAAGTTGGACCCTGTCTTACAATATTGACAGTTTCCTACCCTACTCTCCTCTTCAAGTCCTAGTGCAGGAGTTCCCAACCTCAGCATCACTCGCATTTTTGGCCAGTTAGTTTTTATTTGAGGGGCCGTCCTGTGCACTGAGGATGTCTGCATCATCCCTGGCCTCTGACCACTAGACGCTGGTGCTGCCACTTCCAGCTGAGACAAAACTATCCCCAGACATCGTTAAATGTCCGCTGGAGGCCAAAATCCCTGTGCTTCCTGCCCTGCATTGAGAACCATTGCTCGACTTGAAACAGACATATTTAAAATCCATTCTCAATCCCACAACCATCTCCCTACACCCTAGCAGGTTGGCTCCATGGGTATCAGCGTCAGAGCTCTTCCCCCTGACCTTCCACATTTGCCCTTTAGTGACTAAGGAGGATCTGAGGGTCCCTCTGCAAGCGTATTATATCTTCATTGTGAGTAAATCATTTGTGAGGTCCAAAATAAGAGAGCTATTTGGCAGAAGGGTATGGTTCAGGGGTAGAGTGCATTCCTCGCATGCACAAGATCCTGGGTTCCATCCTTAGTACCACCATTAAATAAAGAAATAAATAAAAAATTGAACTACCTCCCCCCAAAATAAAAAAAATTAATTAAAAAATTTTAAAGAGCTATTGCCCCCATAATCATTGATGTCTTCTGACTAGACCCCCACTTGCTTTGCCAAGGGGCAGGTGACCAGACAGATGAATGAAGTCCAGGTTAACTGGTGCCTGGTCATACCTGTGATCATCCAGGGACTGGCAAATTGTACTTCTATGTGTTCTGATAAATTTCTGCAGTCTTCATGGACAGTCTATAAAAGAGATTTTCTCACCAGAATAACTCTCCCTGTGACAAACTATTCTCCCCAAGAACACTCCCACCTTTCCACAAGTGTTCACAAGTGTGATTGTCACCATATGTTACAGAGTTTGTCAGGCATTGCTGGAACGTCGTCATCATCCTTAGAAATGTAGAAGGAACAACTCTTTCCCTTTCTTGATCCGTCTTACTTGGTCATAGAGCAAGGCCTTCCCGCCTTTTGAAAGTACCTGGAAGAGCAGCTTCTGCCTGTTGCCTGATACCCCGACGTACTCTTCCCTGAGGAAGGAGGCATGGCTTTTTGCAGGTTGTATTTGGGACGAGGAGCTGCCCAGGGACAGTGCAGCCTTTTCATTTCTTACTTTTTACCCTGCCTGCCATCAGATGGTACCTTGTGCTCTGAAGGTCCAAACTCTCCCTCAAGTGCTTTCTCCAAAGTCTAGAAGTGAAAGTACTAGGAATCTGGTGGTGGTCATTTATCTATTTATGCCAGCAATAAAGTTAAATAGTTTAAGGCGTCTGCCAGACCCCTGAAGTTATCCCCCAATCCATTCAAGAACTCTGGAGGGGAAAATGGGTGTATTATTAACTGGACAGCTGACTGAGATATACCCAGAGAGAGAGAGATTGAGGAGCATCCTGGGAAAACAGCAAATGTGATACCAAGTGCCCTGGGGCAGCCTAGGGAAGGAGGCAGGTCCTCGCTTTAACATGTTCTGTCCTTGTGGGATTGGTTGTTCTCATAGTCCCCGGGGCTGGGCTGCTGTCATCTCTGCGGACCGTATTCACCTCACCTACACTAGCGCAGCTTGGCCTTGGCACTGGTTACAGAATCGGGAGGTTGGCCTTTTTGTCTCTTAATGCACATAGGAAGGATGCTGAGACACTGGTGTGTGCCCTCCGATTTTCACACAGAGCCGCAGACCCAGGCTTTAAACTGCAGCGGCAGTAAATTCCTCTTTAGCAATAAAGCACTAGTATGTGAAGATCCAGCTTTCAGTTATAAATTCTGGACGCAAGAACTAACATAGGTAGCAAGAGATCAGCTGCGCCAGACCCTGTTTCTTGTTATTTCACTTGGAACTGCACTGAGCTCCTAGGTGAGAGCTGAGGCGGGCTAACCTCTTGGGTCTTTGTGGCTTGTCCAGAGACTCTGAAGACCACCTCCGATAATTATGAGCTCTGTGGATTCATTAATCATGTACACTGTGTCCCATGGTTTTTGGTTTTCAGGCTCCAAACTGTGGCTTAACCACAGAGGAATGGTAGTTTTTATTAATGAATAGTGAAAGTGAAATGGGCACCTATTACTCTGGAAGTGCAGCTCCTACTTGGACAGAGATGGAAGGAAAATTGAATGAGATCATCATAACACCAAAGGCCAAAATTTACTGAGGAAAGAGTGTACCTGAATCAAGTTGGTGGAGAAGACATTCAAGGACTTAAGATGGGGAGAAATTTCAGTACATTTCAGACAAGAGGAGCATGGTTTGGGAAATGACTTTACCTCTGTTATCAGGGGAGGGCTAACAGAGGATGTATTAGGGCATTTAGACGGAGAGAAATCTACTTAAGGGGAAATGTGAGGTCTTAAAGACAAAAACTGGATTTGCACAAGAGGGAAATGAATCTAATAAGTGCTCTTAAAGGCAGGGCTCTATAATAGGAGGTATCTTAGTCATTGTTGAATCAAAATGAGTGATCAGAGGAGGCAGAGACAGGAGAGGCTGGGCCACAGATCAACGCACTGTAAAACTGCAGACAGTTCTTCATAAGATCCAGCGCTGGCCATTCTGAAGACTGCAACAGCTATTCAGAGGGGTCATATAAAACACAGACAGGTTTAAGAATTTAAAATCTGAGAATATCAGGGTAGGATATTTGAAGCAATTTGGGGTGAGTTTCAAGGTGTCTGTTACGGCTGGTGGGCCCTGAGTGAACGTGCTCAAGAAATATGGAGACGTAGATTTGGAAGGAACGGGGAGACAAAAGGAAGGGGAGCTGGGCAGGACAGCACAGATGCAGTCCAAACATGGGGTGTGGTCCTGGGAAAAGACTCCTCAGAAGGGGTATCCAACTCAAGAACTCAAGAAAGGAGGTAGGACCTGTGGTGGAACAGAGCATCTTCTCAGCAGACTCATAACTCCTTGGTTTTGCTTCTCTCTCTGAGGGAGACCACACAATACAGAATGTAGAAGGAAATATTTGGAAAACAGACGTCTGGGTCTGAGAGCATAGGGGAAGTGGAGGCTAACAAACAAATCAAAAACCCTAAGATCCTTAACAGAGCGATAGAGAAAGAAGGGGCCCATTTGAAAAAACTGGTCAAAATGTTAAAAGCTACAACAGCAAAACTCAGCTCAGCCCTCCTACTGCGGAGAAGGTTGTGACAAGAGAAAGTATCTTTGTTGCCTTGGTAGGATGAGTTACTTAAGAATTAGAAAGTTCAAGAAGGCAAAGTTCTGAGAAAGAGCAGCACCTGTGTAAGGTATGGTCCCCACTAGGCACACAGGCTCCAGAAGGGTCACCTGGGGGCGGGGGCGATACTCCTGCTGAAACAAGGAGGCACTGGCAAGAGATGAGTTCCCTCAGCCCAGGCTCAGTGACTGAATACGGAAAAAGATTAAAGAGGTTTTAAATATGCAGGTGGAAAAGTAGAACAACCTAAAATAAGACAGAGGCATAAAGGATGTCACCACCGCAGAGCCCTAAACTCCGCAAAAAGACAGATATGTTTCAAGTGCCACTCACTGAGGGCAACGATAGTACGTGTAAACAGATTTCACCCCCCAACCCTGGGTTTGCCATTTCCCATACTTGTTAACCTCTTGATGGTAGTGATACAGGAAAAAAATGAGGGGCAAGAGAGGATGGCTGTGTCTCAGGTCTCAGTCAATTCCCTGGGACGCGCCCTGCCACGTGAAGGTCCTTGGCTTCACACAGGAAAGAATTTAAGAGCGAGCCATAGTGGCAAAGTGAGGTAGATTTATTCAGAGGGATACATATTCCACAGACAGAGTGCAGGCCTTCTCAGGAGGCCAAAGAGGCCACAAGGCGTGGGGGTGGGTGTTTAAAGTAAAAGTAGATACACACTCCACAGACAGATCATCTCAAAAGGCGGGAGAAAGTTCAGGCAAAAAGCCACAAGGTGCTGGGTTGTTGGTTTTTAAGGGATTGGTAACTTCATATGCTAACAAGTGGGAGGATTATTCCAACTGCTTTGGGGAGGGGGCAGGGATTCCCAGGAACTGGGATGCCCCCCACCCTTTGACCTTCGATGCTCAGCCTTCAAACTGTCCCGGCACCTGTGGGAGTGCCATTTAGCAGCTACTGTATTTTAATGGGCGTATGTTGAAGCTCAAGGTCTACTGGGAGTTGAATTTCCCACCATCTCAGTGCTTATTGCTGTGTCATTCTTTTAATGGCTGTGCCCTGCCCCCTTCCCTCCTGTCTCAGTAGCAGGCTCCATCTGATGTGGACAGCTCCCCTCTCCCCCACGCACCGACACCAACCAGCATCTTGTTGTAGCTGAAGATTTTCTCTATCTACCCATCTTCCCTCAGACATCCCCTAGGTCTCTGCTTTGGTCTCGGTAAGAGTAACACGAGCCTGCATTATACTGAGTCCTGAGGTCAAAAAATATAATTTCACTTGAGATAAATTGGCCTTAGAGCTGGGTATTTTTTTGCATATTTAAAATTTATGAGTGCTATGATAATTGCATGTGTCCTACTAATTCTTTAGACTCCATGAATAAACATAGAATAAGGGACTTCAGGATGTATTAATTCAAGAGAATTCTCAAGATTAAGATCTCTCTGGCTAAGGCTAAAAAGAATAAGAATTTGTGAAGGAAAGAAACTGAAACCTTAATTTATTTGAAATTTTGCTAAGGAGTTATGAACTCTGCTATCCCAGACTTCAATTTACAAGGAAGCTCAGGGGGATTTAATATTTGCTGCTTAATTTCTCCCCAGATATTTGGCGAGACAGTGGGGTCCACTATATTGGATCTACTGCTTAAACTTTGGTGAGTTCTACTGGATAAGCTAGCTGAGCCTAATTTGGTATGGGAATTAGAATAAGCAGTGATTTTTTTTGGCTTGAGGTACAGCCTGGCTTCTGTAATTGGGAAGAACAAAGCTGACTCCATATTGGATCCATTTCTTTCACTTAATCCTTTGTATTCTATTGCTTTTGCTACAAGTTAATCACTGAAGGGTTGTTGCCTATAGCTTCCAGTATACACATTGGTCCATCTCTGGGAACCCTGCCTCCCGTGCCTGACTATTAAGCTAAAATACCTTTGTTTAAGCTCACAGGAAACATGCTGACCAGACCCACCTATGAACACTGCAGGAAGAAATTGACACATACCCTCTGGCATCCAGAACCAGGAAATATTTGCAACAACTTATTGCCTTTTTTACTTTACCTCTTCACCCTCCATCCATCTTTTACTCTATAAAAGAACCTAATATCCAAACTCAGGCAAGGTGGTTCTTTGGGACACTAGTTCGTGATCTCAGTCTGATGGCTTTCCAAATAAAGTCACTACTCCTTGCCCCAACAACTCGTACCTCAATTTATTGGCCTGTCGTGCAGTGAGCAAATGAGCTTGGACTCAGTAACACTTCTAGGAACAAGAGCTGGACCATCTGCTCATGGGCCCAGGAGGCTGATGGAACAGTGATATACTGGGATTCTTTATGAATCTCATATGAATCCTCGTAAACTTGGAAGCAGCACTCTTACTTCTTGAAGGAGTCACAAAATGGCTTCCCTAATGCTAAGGCAGCTTTAAGAACTTATTGTGATTAGTTAACTTGCTTTCTTTGAGTTATGCCCTACCCTAAATAACTTGTACTTAAACCCAAGAACTGTTTTCCTAAAAGAAGATCACAGGACAGTAACCTTGGAGGAACAGATCCTCCAAGAACTGTGGCACAAGATAAACTTTTGTGAAAGACTGTATTGTTCATTGTCACTGATATGCTCCATCCTGTTTGCCTATATAATCACCAAGCCCCAAACCCCAAGACAGATTCACAGTTACCAAGGTACTAGCCTGCTATGACCCCCCTGTGCCCAGCAAAGCTATAAAACCGCTCTTTTCTTTGCTCCTAAACTCTGTCCCTGAGTTTGAATTCGCCTTTTGGGGGTGCAGAGACTGATTTTTTGGTAACATTCTGAGAAACAAGAACTTGATTGTTAAGCCCAAAAGCTAAAGAAACCAAAATTCTGTAAATGGTGGAAGATAAGTCTTTTCTCCTCTGGCTTTCTATTTTTCTCACAAATCAGGACCTCACCATTTTGCCAGTGTTGGGAAAAGTAGCTTCTGTCCTTCCCTCTACCTCCTTATTCATTCCTCCCCAAGGAAGGAATAATTCTTCAGAATGTTGAGTTCAGGGGAGAAAGCAACCAAGAAGCATGTCCAGCTTAAGTTAGCCTAGCATGCGTTCTAGGAGGACAACCCAAAAGAAAAGGTGAGTGTTTTCTTCTCTGCTCCTCTGTCCGTGAGGTAGGAGCCCTTCGGTTAGACCTACTTTCTCAAGGTAGGTTGGAAACTCCTTTCTTTGAGTACTGTCCGTAGTACACAGCCGATTGGAGGCAGTGATTCTAGATGTGTGTGCTCTGCAGACCTACCCTCTCCCTTGAGGGGCCATTCCAAGCTCTCACTTTGGAGAAAAGAATTAAGAAGCCCAAATGATGCTGAGCTCTTCAATCCAGGTGTTTATAATAACAATAATATAAAACTGATATTTTGACCTCTCTGTGTCTTTTACTCCTCAAATCCCTCCAAGTTTGGAGCTAATGAAGAGTATGAGCAATTATCACCCTCAGCTCCTGGCAAATACTCATAGCTAATATTTGTGAAGGACCTAGTGTGGACTGCACACTATGTTAACAGTTCTAACAGGCGTTGCTTCATTTAATCTTCATGACAACTCTGTGAGGTGTGCAGTGTTGTTCCTCCCACCTGACAGAAAAGAACACTGAGGCTTAAAGAGCTGAGGTGACCTCCCTAAGGCCACAGGCAGCGAGTAACTAACTGTGGGTCTCAGACGTGAAAGTACATGCAGCCAGTTGACGCTCTCCTATCACATAAGTATCTCTTAATGCTCTAAGAAAAGATGAGTACAGAGCTCCAGTTCACCCTGGTTGCAGAACTCAGAAAAGCTATGAGGCATCCATCTGTTGTGAACACTGTCTAAGGCAGATCTTTAGGAGACCTGTCCAACTGAGCTGCTGCAAAGGCTTGTAAGTTAAAAATTAAATGATAATAAATTGCTTCAAGTTTTTAACTTCTGTGCTCTTTTTTCATTTATGATACTGATTTTGCATCTATGAATTTTTTTACATGATTTCTGAAGAGTCAGTCTGGCTAGATCCATCAACTGATTCAGCATTAAACTTCTGCTATGATGTGAGACCATTTTTTGCAGGTAGTATCATGGGTGATTCACAACAACTGTCAATAGTTCCTAATACAATCTTGTATAAAAATGATTAAATACTGTCCTATTAGATTTCCTTTCATCTTACAGAATTGCCCTCAGCCTTCTATTGGGATTTTGCCTAAACCTTTATATTTTAGCTGCTCACATGAGACCATTTTAATTATGACGGAGTCTATAAGATACCAAAACTGAGTGGCTTTAGAGCCATAAATTTCAACAAAAAAAAATCAATTTAATTTTTGAAGACCAATTTGATAATAATCTGAAAACTCAGTGCTAAAACTGATAAGCACCTCAAATTTTTCCCACATCATCTCTGAGAGAAATAAAAGACTAACAGACTGCAAGAGCACGTAACTATCATGATCACATGAGAAATATATTTCTGGCTTTACATATAGCTAACGAAATGCTTCTACAATTCTTATCAATGAAAATGCATCCACAATAACTCACAAACGGTTTAATTATACTTTAATTCTCTATCAGGGCATCATAAAATGTTTGCCTTTGGAAGAAAATGTTAAAGCACGTAAAATGCGAGAGGGTGAAGCCATCCCTCTAAGGGTCCCTTCTCGGGGGCCTTGCCGGCGTCTGTCTTTACCTCTGAGATGGGCTTCTCATACACATCTTCTCCGATGGACTTCTCCTGGGCCAGGATGGCGTCTCGGTGCAGGACCCGCAGCACTGTCTCGGGCTCCGCAGACCCGTAGTGCGCCTCCAGAACCTCAGGCTTGGTTTTCTCTGTCTTCAGCATGTGGATCACATCTTCCCTGGCCTGTGGTGGAAAGTGCAGTGGGGTCAGACTATTGACAACATAAATCCTAAGCCGGGCTCACAAAATCGATGCGGAGTTGATGGAATACACTCCCATCCCATCAGGGCGATTGGCAAATTCCCTGGGTGTTTTTTGTCCTTTTTTTTTTTTTTCCATCAAAAGCAGATTGGCAAGCAGAGACTCTGCTTCAGGTTGCTAGGAAGCAGGAAAGAAGAAAAACGGTTTGTGCTAATATTAACTCCATAAAAATTGCTCTAACTAGCAATGATTCTGAGAGCGGGGAGGACTGCTCCTGGGCTGCCTACCCTGTTTCAGTGCACATGAGGTCAATGACCCCTTAAAGTTTCCTAGTTTTCTATTTATGCTCTCAAGGTAGTATTCAAATCTGGCTTAAAATTAAACCCCGCTCTCCCTCATTCTAGTTATAACTCCATGTGTAATTAACAAAAACAGCCTTTATTAAAAAAAAACCAGCCTTTATTGGTGATTTTCTGCTACACATCAAGTGATTCATTTTGCACAGAAAAACATGGTTGGGAACTCACACGGTGCTGGGCTGGGCTTCTCAATCTAATCTATTTCTACCGAGGGTGAAATTTAAGTCCTATAACATCCAGACCGCCAATCAGACGAGTCAGGTTGGTGGGGTCAGAGTTGTTCTTTCGGTTTCTTAGCAAAATTTTAGCATCTTGTTGAAGCTCTTGAGAAAACCACATGACTATATGTTTTAAAGAAATTGACTATGGTCCCCATCACATGCAAATACATCTGGATGTATTTTCTTCAGACTAGGAGTGATGAACGCTGCAGTTATGATGAAGCTGACATTCAGCATACTCCCATCTGGTCGTCTACTAGTTTTTCCAGTAATGGCGATGGGTATGAAATGTCCTGACTTCATCACAACTTGTACTGGAGAACAAACTGGTTGGCAACAGAGTTTCAGTCTGTGACATTGGAAGAGTTTTCCCCTGTGTTATGCTGACTATGAGTTTTAAATCATAAACCTGGCTTAGTATCATTGTATTCTAAACAAGGGAACTAACTAGTCAGCCCTGAGATAGGAACGTTAGAAAGTTCATCTTTCTTGAGATTTCTCACTTTTATTGCTTTTTCGTACACTCCAAATTCATCTAATTCCAAATGGCTGAAGACAAATTTATTACAGAAACGTCAAGGGACTGGAATTTGCAGATCTTCCCCATGTTGTCTGTGCCACATATACGTGTGCTCATTTCAAGGCAAAAATGGAAAATATTAATTTTTGAAAAATCAGTGGTTTGGAATCAGCAAGAGAGTTAAAGTCAGAAAGTGGTTTCATGGAAGCACAATGTGTCCTTTCAAGGCAGGGCGGAAGAACAAAGCGCACTGAAGGGACAAAGTGAATTGAATTCAATTCAATTCAGGCTAGCTGTACAGAGTCTCTGTGCAAATTAGAAAGAGGCGCCTGCTTCTTCCTGGAGACACAGCCCTGAGTCTGAGTGCAGTGTGCCTAGGGAGCAAAGAGTGGGCTGTATCTCCTCCCCTCTGCCAGGCCCCCTCGTGCAAGGTACAACTTCCCATCTGTGTGCGGTGGCCCTGCACCGAAGGAGTCCAAGGTACGTCCATTGTCACTGGTCTGCAGGCAGACGGTGTAAACAAAAAGCCTTACAACTGTAAGTAGGTAGCTATTTCAGTTTAAAAGTTCAAGCTATCTGGTTTAAAATATAAATATTATTGGTATCTGTCTTCTTGACCAAATCTTCCTAATTCTCCCAGAAGAAAACAGCTTGTTTTATTCCCACGGATGTGAAACACCTATATCTCCTCTCCCTAAAAAATATACTTATGCTTGAACTGTATTGACTGTGCTATGTTATGTGTATCACACATTTCATTCTTAATTACTCTTGACATTAATTACCAAAGAAAAAGAGACTGTGGTTATGTAACACTGTGCATTATATATTTAGAACCACACTATTCATCAGGAATTTACTGAAAGCATTTTTAATTTCTCTAAAAATAATCATGGAAGAAATACGAATATTGCCTACAAGTTACTGCTATTTAAAATAGCTTATTACCATAAATCAATCATTCATATTGTGGTATCTGTTTAATCAATGGAGTAATGAGGATGTGATCATAAGAAATTTTTTTTCATTACTTTAAACATATGATTCAATCTATGTAAATAAAATCAGATGCTATGTTTTGGGGACAAAACCCCTTTATGTCTCTGTTTTGAGCATCTTGTTCATTTTTGTATGAAAGAATGAAATTCAAAATGTAAGAAGGTTCCTGTCCTTGAACATTGCGATTTTCACGTGGAAGTTTTATCGCAAGCAAGCAGTTAAAGTCTTAGCGTGCTGAGGAGCTGTTAAATAGGCCACTGTATTTAAATAGATGTGAAAGGAGCCAGAGGGAAGAACATTTTGAAAGGGACTCTAGGAAGGGGAGAGATAGGGTTCAGAGGAGGAAGAGACAATTTAAAGTGTTCAACTGACTTAGTTTTCTTGACGGAGGAGAATAAATATGAGGTTAGGGTACTGCAACAGACACAGAGGGCTCACATCCTTCTCCTCCATCCTACACGACTCCTCTCTGTGCCAAGGGAGGCCTCCGGAGGCCAAGAACAGAGATGTCCCTGCAGAACTGAAACTGTATGGCATGGAGCAAGGGGTTGTCTCAATTGGCTGCATAAGGGACTGATTCAAAACATGTGGGGGCAGCAAAGAGCCACTCTGCAAAGCCCGGGCCCACAGGTGAGTGTGTGAGCCACCTTACAAAGTCAAGGATGGGTATCTGCATCCCTGAGAAAGCAGGGATGGAGGGACAGAATAAGACCCAGGACAGGTGGAGCCCACATGGGTGGCATAGTTCAAAAGAGGGCTGAACCCCATCATTCATTCAATAAATATTTGTACACATTCACTTTGTGGAATGCATTGCGTTCAGTTTCGGAGATATAACTGCATCTCGAGGCACTGAAGTCTAGGGGAATAGAGACAAATGATTGAAAGGCATTTGCACTATAACACGATAAGCCTTAGGATGGAGGAGTTACAAAGGGTTAAGAACACTTGAATCTGAGCTGAGGAAGGGGGCTTCCTGGAGAAAGTGATCTGATATTCTCACAATAAGTACTTGAGCCAGAGGAAGTGGAGAGGAGCTAGGGTAAGAGTATTAGCCAAGGAAAGACTGAAGGCAGAGGCCAAACGAAATAGATTTAGATGCGTGGGCTGGGGCAACAGGAGCCTAGAGTGATAAACAAAGGGCAACTCATGAAAAGCTTGTAAACCAGGCAATGAGTTTGCATTTTATCACGGAACAGCAAGCAGCCTTGGAATTTTTAAGCAACAGGATTGTTTGACATGGTCAGATTTGCGTGGTGAAAAGATCATTCATCTGCTATGTTCAAAACGTACCAATTCTGAATCAGCAGGTCTGATGGTGCAACCCAGAAATCGTGATTTAAAAAGCTCTGCAGGTATTCTAAGTGCACAGCTGCATTTAGAAACCCCTGCTTTAGGACCGACCGATAGGCTGATTCAGCACCAAAAGCACTTAATTTCAGCAAGTATTTACTGAGTGCTTATTGCCGGCACTGCTGTGTTATTTCAAGGCCCCCCCAGGATTGTCTGATTCCCAGGCGTGTGCTTGCCCCAGAGGTTATCAGTTCTGTGTTATTAGTTTCCCTGATCCTTCTTCACCAAGGACTCGTGGTCACTTCAGACCAGCAGCATAAACCAGGGGGGTCTGCAAAAACTTGAATGTGTTTGCCAGCTCTGGGCAAAAGAGGGTGACCAACTGTCCCAGTTTGCCTGGGACTAAGAAGAGCAGAGTCCCACAAAGCTGGACTTACGAAAATGAGGACAGTCCCAGGCAAACTGGGACGAGTTGGTTATCCTAGGGCAAACACTGAGTGGTCTGGGATATTCCAAAATGTCCCTGCATTTAGCAGGGCAGCCATGGTGGGCTCACTCTATATGCTCAGGAACTGAATTCCATTGACAGTGTTTACAAAACTTAGCTTTCTTTAAAGGCAAAAATCCATTATTGATGATTATGCCCGGTGATAGTTATAACTATTTTTTAAATTTGTGGAGGGGTATTTTTAATCATTAGGGAAAACCCACAATGAGTAGGAAAGAATGCTTGGTTCTTAAGCCTACGTGACGTAGCTTTTCCACACTTCTGAAATGGGTGTATGTATAACTCTGGGAGAACAGGGGAATCAAAATGAGCCATGCAGCTTCCAGTTAAACCTGGTGCATCCTCTTGAAGCACTAAGATTACTTAAAGACTTGAGGGGGGTGGTAAGTAGTTTAAGACTCTTTCAAAATATTAATACAATGTTAATATTGACTTGAATGTATAGGACAAAACACAAGACTTAAAAAAATTTGCTTGAGGTGGACAGCCTGGGACAGGCTCTTGGACGATGCCACTGTGATCCCCAGCATGGGGGTCCACTCTCTTAGGCTGAGAGGGAGCACAGCTGGATGGGAAGTCTGAGGAGCCTGCCCATACCTACTGACACTGCACGCTTCAAACAAGGCGTTCCCTGCCGAGAACTGTTGACCTTCAGTGAGGGATGCATTTTGAGGAGAGAATAAATCAATTTCTATGCTATGGAAGATCCAGAGTGTCAGTTTCTAAACACTGTCACTTCTTTGCATTATTTAGTTAACCAGCTAAGTATGGTCTATTGCTGCACTGGGCTAAGGAGCCCTAGAAAAGATGGTCTTGGAAGACCAGTGCACGCCCATTTCGTAGATGCTTTCTCATTCTGGGAACTCAACTCAATGTTCTGTATCTATTTAAATAAAGATTCTTATTAGTTTACTTGCCTGTTTTTCAGGCTGTGAGCTGCTTTGGGGACAGGGACTAAGTCCACATGTCTACTCAAAGAGTGCCTGTGATAAGCACTCAGGAAATATTTGTTGAAATAAAGAAAAGTACAATTAAGTGATGTGAGGTCAGAGAGGCATAAACCAGCGCTGCAAAGCTCAGAA